TGAGATTTTTGTTTCTGCTCTTGTCAAGTTTGTAATGTACTTCACTTGCAGACATAAACATTGCCTTTGGCAAGAAGGGCTCCTACTCGGCTTGGCAATTTGATCCTTTTTTTTCTTCCTTTTACCAAGAAAATTCTCTTAGTAGGCATGTTTGCCTTTCCATAATCCTCCTAGTGTTTAGGCTGTGCTGTTCATAGGTACCTTTTTGGTAGGTGGGAATACTATGGGCGTCAGCTTAAAACACTCCAGTGTACTCTCTATGTTTTCCCAAGCAGTGAAGTCTGGAGGAGTGTGTGACTGTTCTTTGTGACATGCTAATTTGCAGATTTCCCCCAGTGTAATTGTAGGAAGATGCTGACTTTGGTTGTATTCAGTGCTGTCTTGCCATAGCAAAAGTAAAAAATCAAATTTTGTCTTGACAAGTTTGGTTTTTTTTCCCTGAAAGGAATGAATGCTGCTCACCCCATCCTTAGTTATGTTTATATTTGATTGTGGCCGGGATTTTTCTTAGCAAAATTTTGATGCAGAAGTACTAATGCAAGCTGGTTAACTAATATTTAAATTAAAAACAAGTCTGTTATTGATTTTCATAATAACGTTGTCACTTGAATGGTAGAAGTTCTTACTTTTAAGAATACTATCAGAGTCTTAAGTAAGCCTTAAGTAAAATATTCTCTGGAACCCACATTGGTAGTAGAAGAAACTACTAAACAATCAACTTCAACAAGGTGTTGAACGTATTGAAGAGGCCTCAGTGCTTCACCACATGTGGCCCGAGAAGTTGTGGATGCCTCATCCCTGGAAATGTTGAAGGCCAAATTTGATGGGGTTTTAAGTACCCTGGTTCGGTGGCAGGTGAAAGTGTCTCTGCCCATGGTGGGGGGTTTGACTAGATGGCCTTTAAAGGTCCCTTCCAACTATTACGTGATTCTGCAATTCTATTCTGTGATCTAAAACCACTAAGAAAATAATATAACTTCTAATATATGATCAAAAAAAGCTGTATTTTGAATATGACATGAAACTGCCTGAAAAGAATCACTTGGGAGGGTAGAATTTGATGCATTTATTTTTTTAAAGCGAAAGGTATTTTCAGATAAGAGGAAGGAGCTAAAAAATCAAACTTCTAATGTGGATGTGATGCTACTTCTTCAGCCAGTTAGTGGCAAATACAGGGTGACTGCAGCTTTAGTGGTAATGAATGTCTTGTATTTGCAACCTGTTTGCTTTCTTTGTATCTATTCTTTGTATTTATTACCTTAACTTCTTGGCACTTTCCATCCTGGCACATAAGTCACAATTACACTATATTTTGAAAGGTATGTTACTGAGGTAGGAAATGCTTGTATAAAACAGGTGTTTCTGAATACATGTGTGATGTATCCTCTGTATACATCTATCTAACTACTCCTATTGAAAATAAAAGAAAATCCCAAAGCCCTTATTCTTCCCACATGTACATCAACAGATGTTTCCTCGTGCTGTGTGTACTTTCCATGACAGTTGGTTTCCCATCTTCTGCAGTTATATTACTTTCTTAGGAGTTGTCCAGGCTTTCAGGTAAGTTTAACAGTCTTGCAAGCGTTAGTGCTAGTCTCCTTCAGTGTTTCTAGTCTTGTCTTTTTTCCCGTTTCCCTTTCCTTTGAGTGGATAGCTGCCATTTGAAACAGTAGTCCTGCTGGATCCTGTTCATGGGCACTGCTGCTTCTGGTCCTTTTCTGTATCCAGACAGCTTTGGTAGTTGAAAGATTGTGATTTTATTTATAATGCTGTGTCGCATAGGAACTCTCTTCTTATGGGGCAGTAGCTTGTTATGCTAAAATCAGAAAGATGATAATTGTCCAGGATAATTTTTTATAGGTAACTTGCAGGACAAAAGAGAGAAGAGATGGTTAGAAGTAATGTCAGACAGTACAGAAAGTGCTTTAGCTGCAAATGGTTTCAGTATGCCAAAAGAACCTGCTCATTACTTTACGGTGCTTTATTTCCTTGTAAGTTGGGTAGTAGCGAAGAGTTTGAAGGAGACATTTACAAAGAATGCAGTGAATGGGCATGTGTGCTCTAGGGGACGTTCCAAACATGATGAATACTTTGGGTATGTTTCTAAGCCTATTGTGCCAAGGAGGTGCTGGGCACCAGAGTACAGGGCTCGTGGGCTCACTGAGCCAGTGTTCTTATAATGTGACATTTGCACAGGATATGTATATGCTGGCCTTTTCTTTAAAGCAAAAACTAGCTGGGCTTTACTTTCATTGTACAGATAAATACTGTCTGAATGCAGTGAAGGCAGTAAAGTGAGCTTTAAGCTCCCTCTGGTGGCTTTACAGTACAGTTCAAACCTTGACTGTTGCACTTGTCTGCTCTGGACAGTTTTGAGAGTCGAAGTTTGTAATGTATTGTTAAGTTATTGTCATTTTAAAAATTAATACAGGAATATGATGTACAATATGCCTTTCCAAGGTGTCAAATGTCTTCTGTAATTGGACTTCAGAGAAGTAGAAGAGCTAAAATAATATAAAGCAAGAGGCCTTTCTAGTTATTATAGACATAAAGGAGGTATTTCCCAAAAAACTTCACTGGTTGTTTTTCTAGTGGTGCCATAGTTTGCAGCTGAAGGTGTCCTTAAGTATTACAGAACAGTGAAAATAGATAGGATCTCTGTATGGCAAACTTAAATATAATGTGTTAATACAAAATTAGTTTGGATCAGGTAGTCCTGATCTGGTCTTCTTGCTCTAAGGATGTGGATATAAATGACCCTGGGCTTGCAAAAACTTACACTTTGTCACGCCCAAAGGATTCTTTCTAACATGGCCATAATTAGTGAGGCTTCATGAGACTGCAGAGCTCTGAGCTGCAAGGTCAGTAGTGTTGAAAGGGAAATGTCACTACACGCCTTTTCTCCATACATTGCACTGGCTCTGGCACTTGTCTGGCTTTTTGATGCTTATTAGACTAACAAATATTCTTTCCCCTTGCCTTTGGATTTCCCCTCTATGCTCTTTTTCTTTTGTGGACTAATTGATAGAAAGTATCATGTAAAGAGGTAAGAAGACTTTGCAGGTGGGACCAAGAAAGGAGTAGGAGGACCTCTCCTTTTGGTAGCAGAAAGTTATTAAAATAAGTCACTTGTCTCAAGAAATTTGATTCTTAATTCTCGTGAACTATCATTGGGCAGAGCTGGGTGTTTCTTCAGACTTAAAACTATTCCCAGGCATTGCACAGCAACAGGCTGTAGATTAAATGCACCTAAAATGGTAACTGGTGCTGGAAAAAAGCAGGCTATCACCACCCAATAGATGCCATACTGTGCTGGTTTAGGCCTTTGTGTTGGGTTATGGTGAACCAGACTTGGGAACTGATCCAGATGAAAAAATCTGGGATGATTTTTGGTAATCACTTCCCCAGTCTGGTTCTCTGTGCATTTGCACAAATGCTTGCCCATAAAGTTGGGGGGAAAAGTGGGAACTGCCTTTTTTTCAGTTGGTTTGATTTATTTGCCACAGTTCTGACTGAAGTGTGTATCAAGCTGTTGCTGTGTAGGTCATTCCTGCATGCTTGATAACCTGCTACAAATATTCTTCTGGCATTCTGTACAGCTGGTTCTATTGCAGTGAATGTAGTTAGAGTCCATGCAGAGGAGGATGGTCCTTCACACTGCAGAAAACACCAACAGCTGTTCCCATTAGGAACAGCTCCTGTTGCATGCAGGAGAGTTGAGGTTACATCACAGAAATACCTATTAAATCAGATTTATTGTGGTTTATTTGCTGGAAAATATTTCACTTATGTTAAAAGCATTGGTCTTGATGTTTTTATTCTCAAAGCAGTGGATATAAACCATGACTGAAAGATAGGGGGCACACATGTTCTTTTCCAGCTGCTAGGGATGGGGCTGGAATGTGGAGTTCTGAAGTTCAGCTGAAGTTCAATAACCTATGCTGTCACCTTGATCCTGCTCTGCAGTTTGGATGTGATCTTCCTACATATGTGCATGTTCATTTCTCAAAGGTTAGCATTAGTTTTGTGGTGTCAATCCCCTGCAAGAGTATCTCATGCTGTATGCAGTACAGATAAATCCCAAAAAGCAGAAGTCAGAGACTATTAGTGGCAGAAGTGGAGAGCAGTGTGGTGCTGTGAGCTGCTGATACTTTCTGCATGGCTGTTTTGACCTTGTAGGTCAGTGTGGGGTCTTGGGCTTGTGCAGTGAGGTGAGGCTGCAGTGCAGGCAGCTCCTCTGTGCTCTGTAGGCACCTCACAGGGGTCCAGGTTATTGCACAGTTTCATGCTTTACCTCAAGCTGATTTTTGGGTAGAAACCTCCCTGGAGCTGGCTTTCAACAGGAGAGCAGCAGGTGTTACCTGAGCAGCCAAGGTGCCCAAGATGTAATGGGGTGGGTGTATATAGGGATGGGTGTAAGTTGATGAACCACCATAGCCATTCCAAATACTTGTCTCTTCAATCACATCAGTCCTCAGGATGTCAATTTTAATATTAAACACTAGAGGGTAGTATGTTCCTGGTATATACTTTATTTCAGAACATATCTGTAGTAATTTCTAAATCTCCTGAATTTATTATACAACTGAATATTTTAAAACAAATGTTGAACTAAAGAAAAAAATAGTACTTTGCTTCCAGGACTGTGAGCATGCTTAGCATTATTTAGTGATGTGCAGTGGTATTTTTGGTCTGAGTAGAAAAAGAATTGGTTTGAATTTAGATCTGATGTCTAACTTTCTTCAGAAATATTGTTCAAAAACTATACTTAAATTACTCACTCTCTGCCTGATACCTTGATATTCACACCTATGTGCATGCAATGTAAATGCAGAGTGGTAGATAAGAAAAGGTAATGCCTGAGAGCAAGCAGTTTTGCCAAGAGATATTGGGTTTTGGTGTTTAACAAGGCAAACATTTATGTGTTTGACATTCATGACATTGACATGACATTGTTTTTAGTATATTTTTGATCAATGCTTGAAAAACTTTTTTTTCAGGCACCACCTTCCATGGTCAACAATGAACAACGCCAACATGCTGAGCACATATTCTTATCATTTAGAAAATCAAAATCACCATTTGCTGTTTGCAAACATATTTTGGGTAAGTTTCAGTAAATGAATTTAGGTGTGTACATTCTTTTATAACTGGAACTGTGCTGTTCTTTTGCAGCTGGTACTGTGAACATGAGTTTTGATTTTAATGAGGGTTACTTTTTGATGGAGCATGAAACCGATTACTGTCCTTTTTTGTTTTGTCAGTTTCAAAGCTGTAAGGTGTAACTTCATGTGGCTAAGTTCCTAAACTGATTTAATAGATTTCCTTTGCAACATGATTACTGTAATACTGTCTAATCTGTGCAGTTTGTGCAGCTGTCAGTAAAGTGGTTGCTTGGCTTTGTGCTTGCTTCCCATTAAATCAGCCAACGATGCAGTTTTATGCACTTCTACCAGATTTTGCATTGGTGCTGAAATGAGTGTTTATTTCTAGTTGAACAACTTAGTTGCTGTTGACAGCCCAGCTGGAGGAAAAAGAGGAAAAAGCTAGAAAATATCTGCCCACTTGGTAGAAGCAAGACAGTATTGATTTGAAATTTTGTGTGATTATACCTGTGGCAAAAGGCACCACCCTTCATCAGAAATTTCTTTGATTTTAATGGAAGTGCTCTAAATGTGGTTGGGTAGCAAGTTATAAAGGATAAATGTTTTTACAGGTGCTATAGAGACTTATTAGAGTTTGGCAGCTAAATCTGGAAATTACAGGGGCAGTAAATATTTAAGATTGCTGCTCAGCACTGTAGTATTGACCAGATGTGAGTGCTGGGGACAGGTGAGGGGAAATTTCTATGTAAACTGACTCTGCGACCTGATGGGGGAGATTCTTTTAAAGAATGAACAGAGAAATATTATAATTATGTTGAAAATATTATTTTCATACTTAATTCTCCAATATTTTTTAACAGTTATTTATAAATTTACTGGATTAGAGACTTAGAATTCATTAATATTATGATGTCAGTATTGCAGTCCTGCTGCTATGTTACACTGTGATATCTAGACCAAGATGTGCTTCCTTTCTTACACCCACTCCACACCAAATTTTATCTCTACAAATGGGTTTCTTCTGGGTTTAGTATATTATAGTAGTATTCCACCTGGTTTGGAAGACTGCAATCACACTTTTTGCTTGATGGGTCAGCAATATTGATGCTTCTTGTTTTCACTTTGATTTTTAGAGAAAATAGGGTGGGCAAAAACATACTTAAGTAAGTTTGTTTACAGACCATTTGGATCTAAGGATGCATTCATCATCAATCAGAAATAAATAATGAAATCTCATGAAATCTTAAATGTGGTTGGTTGAATGGAATATGATGCTGATTTTAATACTTTTTGGATGTCTAGATATATTACATCCTTAAACTGTTCATATGCTGCCACCATTGAAAATGCATCATGTTTCCACATGGGGCAGGTATTTCATGGAAATGTAAGCAGTTATAATGCTGAGACCTGGAACTTAGAGACTTTTTCAAAACTCTGTGCTTCCTCAGTAAGTATCTGTACAGTATGGACAGAGAACACATAGTTAAGATTTGGGAGTTGAGGAAGAAGAAGCAGGAATTGTGAAATCAGGAACCAGGAAGGGAAAGAAGCTGTTCATGATGAAAAATAAAAGACTTCAAGTCTACTGAAGGGATGTGTGCAGGAAGGATGGGCTGTAACCAGAAGACCAAGTAAATGGCTTTTAAAAGAAACAGGAAAAAAATGGTCAAGACAGGAGTTGGAATGGAGGTAGAGTGAGATTACAAGGATGATGTCATTTGTGGAAAGAAAAGTGTGGGAATGACACAGGGAGAATAATGGAGAAGGTGAGCATATGGAAAAGGGGAACAGCCACTACTATGTTCTTTAGAAATTTGGGGTTGAAGCCAGGAAGCACAAGGCTCTGCATTCTGCTGTAAGCTTATAGCTGTTCAGGGCACTGGCAAAGCCTGTCCTTCCTTTCTGTAGTAAGTTCCGTGGAGGATCGTGGTGCTCTGGCTGATCACAGGCTTGTGCTGGGGGCTGCAGCTCTGTGTGTCGGCGATCGCAGTTGTGCAGCTGCGGCACTTGGCGTAAAGGGGAAATGCTGTCCTTTTTAAATTACATTCTCTTTCTTTGTGTGTGTGTGAGCTTTGTGCAGTTAGAAAAGCTGAAGGCCCAAGGTAAAAAGTGCCAGAATTAAAATTCCCATGCAGGAATAACTCAGTTTGTTTTTATATGTGTTAGACATACACATTAACCTTTACTTGAGTGGTTACTTAGTTTTCCAAATTAAGCTAAGTAGATTTAAACGTGGTTTATTTTTATTTAAGCATGTTTACCTCTGTGGGTTTAGATTTGGAGCCTGATTAAATTACTTTAAAATATTTTAGCATATTATCTGCTGTCTTTGATATAGAACTTCCATATAAAGGAAATTTATAATATAAACTTGTGTGTATGTAACTGGGGCAAGAAAGTTTGTTTTGTAATAATTTAAAGCCCTTCATCTCATGATTGAGGTTTTTTCAAACACCATTTTTCTAGTCCTGGCAGGTCAACCACTATAGCTGAAACTCTGCTTCTTATTTGGGAATTTTATTTCATATTTTAGGCTTTTGCCACCCTGTGGCTGCACCCTTTCTGAAAATTCTTTCTGCAGAACTCAGAATGTTTTGAAACTGGCTTCTGAGATATTGCCTGTTATTTCCAAGTTAAAATTTTTAAAAGTAAAGGAAGAACAACAAATGTCTCTGTAGCTTTCTAGCATCATAGAAATTATATTCATATTCTGGCATTTCTCTTTAAATTGTATTTTGTAATCGCCCAAACTGTTAACCTTTCTCCAGAATATACTTTTATACTTTCCTTAGTGCATCTGTAAATATAGTAATCCCATATTTAGATGATAATGGCAAATGATTCCTACACTGTGGTCATTTTGGTTAACTCAAAATAAATCTGGAAACTTGAACATCATGTAGAACACTTTAAATACACCATGGTGTAAAATTTTTGCTTGGATAGTTAAGCACAAATATTACTTTTAAGTGTAAGTGGATTTGCTTCTTTTTATTACCCATGAAATACATGTACTTTTATGCACTATTTGTTTCAAAGGCAAACACAGAAATTTTCAGCTTTGATATGCCTGCAAGATTAATCTTGTTTATTTTATTCCCCTATTGTGTTAGCATTCTTGTTCCTGTTTTTTCAACTGGCCTCCTAGTGCAGACAACTTTTCTCCTAGGTCATTGACTTGAATAATACTGGACAATTCAATAATTGGGTTATTGATTATTTTTCCCCCTTTTGAGTTGTAAATTCCTTCTCTGTTTTCATAGCAACAATATTCTATTTAATAACAAATGATAGTAAGTTCCATTAATTTTTTTGTTGGAAACACCTTCAAGCTGAATACATGTTTCCTAATACTCAAGTTACCTTTGTTATTTCCCACAGAAACTAGTAAAGTGGACTATGTCCTTTTTCAAGCTGCTACAGCGATAATGGAAGCAGTTGTAAGAGAATGGATTCTCTTGGAAAAAGCTAGCATTGAGTCACTGCGAACATTCCTTCTAACCTATGTCTTACAGAGGCCTAAGTAAGTACAGAAAACACACTTCTGAACATCTAGGTTTCTGCACAAAGTCTGGGCTATCATTTTTGTTTCCCTGGGTAGCAGTGCAAGATCATTTTAAAAATAATTTGTCTTCTAGTCTTAGCAGTTAACTTCTGTCAGCTTTCCCTTATGAATTCACACAAGATATTTGAAAAATAAATGTGTCTAAAATTTTATTGAGCATTGATGTCTAGAATTACTTGCAAATATATTTGTGCAATGTTGTTCACAGCCTTCAAAAGTATGTTCGGGAGCAGATTTTATTAGCAGTAGCGGTGATAGTGAAACGGGGATCATTAGACAAATCAATCGACTGCAAGAGCATTTTTCATGAAGTCAGCCAGCTGATCAGCAGTGGTAACCCCACTGTGGTGAGTACTTACTTTTTTTTTCTTGTTAAGCAGTCTGTATCAGCAACTTATGTTATATACTTAGTGGCTATAAAATATTTTATACTTTGCTTATACAATTAGTCATTAAGTTGCTAACTGTCCAATCATTTACCAAATTGGAGATTTTTAATGTTTTGGGACTAGGAGTAGTATGTGTATACATACTTCGGTACACAAGGAGACCATATTTTTAGGTAATGTTTTTCTGAATAGCTGCTTTAAATGCCATAGTTGTGGGTTGGTGGTTTGTTTTCCATGTTTTTTTTGGTGTGTTTTTAAAAAAATATTATTTGTTTGTTTTCTTTTTTCCTCTGGTTTTTATTAATCTAATAGCAAGATCTTCCTTTAGCTGGGAGGTTCTTTGCATACTCTGTTCCCCTTCCATCTGTGAAGGGCTGCACTCTGCTGCAGCTCAGCTGTTGAAATGGACTGCAAGCGGGAGGCATATGCCTCTGCTGTTCTTTGGGAGACAGTAGGTGGAGAGAAAGGGGTGTGAGGAAGTAAAACATGGAATGGAAATACAAAACTTACTCTTGATTTAATGTCATACTACTAGGGGTAAGTGTTACCTTCGATACTGAGCTCAAAGTGGAAACAAGGTGTCCAATATCTATCTATGCATTTAGTGAAATTCCGTTTGCTATGCCAGAGGATAAGTTTAGACTAGGTCATAATAGAGGCATGTAACTAGAGCTTGAAGAGAGGTGATTTTTTCTCCTACCAGATGAAAATCAAAGCGTATATAGATTCCATGCTGAAACTTTAACTGAAACTTTTCTCAAAAAAAACCAAAAAAAAAACAAACCTTGAGAGAACTGGCTCATTACACTGCTGAGCATTTAGAGCAGCAGTTGTACCACATAGATAGGAATGGCAAATGTTTAACTCTGAAAATTCAGTCAAAGTGTACTAGAAGTAATCCAGCTCATGTCATAGTCCTAAAAATAGTGTGTCACCTCTGAGCAACAATTAGTATTGCTTCAGGGTATGGAAATTTCATTTAGTCTTGTAAAACTTAATTTCACAGTCATTTACCTTAAGTAAATCATTTTAGCCTTTTGATTCTGCATAATTTGGATAAAAGTGGGTATTTGTTAAGAAGAACTGAGTTAATGCTTTTTTCCAGGAAACATAGCCTGTTTTTTACAACGGAGTTACAGCTGAGGTTTTCAAGTTTTATGCACGACTGTGTGTAATCATGTAGTTTGTAGGATCTTTGCATAAAGCTACAAAAGTGGCCTAAATAGAAACATGGACTTTGAACTAAGGAATGCACAGTCCAACTTGTGCAGTTGTATTCTGTGCATGCACTGTCCATAGACACACTTCCCTGACCACAGCATACAGCAAGCTAAGGCTGACTGCTCCAAACATATCATCCTGGGCATGCTGCAGAGCAGAGCATGTTGCAGAGGAGCTCTGGCAGGGGGAAAGGGTACTCTTCTCCAAGCTCAGCTCACTGCCAAATTGAGCTCAGTTTTTCATTTCCCTTTATTTCCCCCTCTTCACAAGTATGAATTTCTCCATAGTTTTTCCAAAATATTTGTGCTCAAGCTTTAAGAATGGTATTGAAAATGTCTAGGATATATAATGTTTTCTATTCTGGTGTGCTAATAAGACTTACTAGAAAAAAAAAAACAACCAAAAATACATGTGGTGCTGCTGAAACATCTTTTCTGTATGGCATGGTGTATGGTTTGTAGTCTTTGGCAAACTGGTTATAAACATGTGCTCCCATGTATATGTGATGGTTTATATTATAAACCAGTTCTCATTCACGAAAATGTTCTTGTAATCTTCTGAGACTTAACTGCAAGAGAGACTATGGTACTGGCATCCAGGACTGGCGTGTGCAATAATAAGCAGTAATAAAATGGTGTTTCAGCATGTTGCCTGCCAAAACTGCTTTCTGAAGGGAGTCAGGGCATGCCTCTTGTATAAATATGTAACAACTTTGAAAGGTTGTATGAAATAACTTATACAATGATTTTTTTATTATTTTAGTTATCTTTTCAAATATGGCTGGGTGGTTTTGTTTCTTTACTAGTGTCCCTGTAGCATTCAGCCACGCCTGTGGGGCCTTTTGGGACCCCAGTGGTGTAGTTGCCATTCTGTTGTGGGGAGTCTCAGCTAAGGGTGCCTCAGGGTATGGTGTGAAGCCTACATCCTGAAGGGAGATGTGCTTTCAAGATCTGAGATGTGCAGTTCTGTACAGTGCCATGCACTGTAACAGGTGTTTATGGAGATTCATTTATATTAGTTATTGTAAATTCAAGTCATGGAAGAGACTAGGATGTATTGAAAGAGATCAGCAGATGTTTTCTGGTCTTCTGTGTTTCTCTGTGGGAGGAATAATTCCATTTTTTGACATCTTTCCCATGGTGTGAACTCTTGCCTCCTTGTATGCTCAAGTTGCAGAAGTTTATCATACCTTTGTGACTCCTAGTTCTTTTCCCAGTCTCTTTGTCCTTTCTGTATCCTTCTCAGCCTTCTGCTCTGACCTTCTGCTCATCCATTTGTGTCGTCCTGCCTGAGGTTCACTGTACATGCAGTCAGCAGCAGGTCACTTTGTATTTAGAAATGTTTAAAGCTCTCAAACAAGAGCTATCAACAGCACTTAGCTGCTGATAATTGGTTAGACCATGGTACTAATTACCCCCAAGGTTGTGGGTTGGATCCCCATATGGGCCATTCACTTAAGAGTTGGACTTGATCCTTGTGGGTCTCTTCCAATTCAGAGGTAATGGCTTTCTACAGCAGTTAGTAACTGAGAGAGCGTCCATTTTAAAAAAGCAAAGCATTCTGTTGTCTGCTTCTTGTTTACCTTTTCCTCCCTGTTGGCTGTGAAACTTCTTGATCCATCTTTACCTTACAAGAAAAATGTAGGTACTTAATCTTTTCTGTTCCCTGCAGGCCTCCCCTGGTTTCTGTCAGACGTCTGTGCTAACTTTCTGATCATCAGCCAATCCTGCTTCATGAGCTCTTTGGGACTTTGAGTAATATCTTGTCAGGATCAAGTCTTGATAGTTGGGTTAATAAGGAGGGCAGTGAATGTAGGTGGTTGTGTCTGTTGTTTGTGTCCTTTTGCAGGATTTGATGTGCTTAGTACCTCAACTTCTCAAGTATAAGTTAAAAAGAGATGGATGTATTTTGAGGCTAGGACACGAAGGTATGTAGTGGCAAACTGGTGTATGAACAAGACTGATGGATGAACTGTTGAGAATGAAAAAATAAGAACGAGGTTGGAAGGAAGATAAGGAGAGGAATTGTCATGAGAGCAATAAAATTGCTTTAGTATTGAGTAATCTTTTAATAATGGGACACAATGTACATGTCAAGGAAATAACAGGACACTAAGGAGAGTTAATACATCAGAGATGGGAAGGATGCGTGGTTAGAGCCAGGTTTAGAACTGGAATGTTGGCTTCTGCTGCTGCGTCTCTGCCATTTGGTGCTTTATGAATCTCACAGAAGAAACCTTTGTCTGAGAAGGGAAAGCAAACTTTTAGTCTGGCTGCCTATTTATTTGTAATTGAGTTTAGGTAGTAATTCTCTAGGAGGACAAAGATTAGCTTTGGAGTTCTTGGTTTTGTTTTTTCTGGCTCTTCCTGTATTATCAATATAAGCCATCCCTGTGCTCATGAAGGAAGATCTGTAATCTCCCTGTGACAGCAATTTCAGGATCTGTTTTCAAAAACTTTATTTCTCTGGGGGACAGAGTTTCTGGCAGCAGACACAGTATCATAAGCCAATCTTACAATTCTGTATACATGTTTTCTATCACTGATTTCAAGATTTTGGAGAATTGAGTGGGACATGTTCTTCTCAACTATAAATGCCTTCAATTTCTTGGCCTTTTCTTCTTGTGTTAAAATATTCTGCTTTTGCATAGCTGAAGGATTTAATTTGTCCTTCATCCCTGCCAGAAGGACAGGAATCCTGGCAGCTAAGTGACTGCCTCCCAGGAGGAGGATCTCATCTGCATGTGAACACAATCAGATTTTGTTTAAAACTGGACCGAGATATGGAATACACCTTGATTTCTTCCAGTATATGTGTTGGTGGATGCAGAGGTGTCCAGCTGCTATAGACTTGACATGGGTCTGGGAAGCAACAGAAGCTGTGTTTTTTGAATGTATTTTAATATAAAGCTTAATATCTGAAGCCTACATAGTTTTTTTTATATGGAAGAAGACTTGTCAAGACTCACTGGAAAAGCTCTGGAATCCTAACAGTTCCTTTTCTTGCAACATTTGTAAATCTGTTGTTCTGTTTCTCAATGTTCTTAGTTGGGCTAGAGAGAAGATCCAGCTGCTTCAGATTACCTAAAGCTTCTGAGGGATGTTCTGTGAATGGATTTCATGTGAGCAGTGGGAAATATTAATAAGCAAGACTCTAGGCATTCATCTTCATTGAGGTTAATCTATCCATTATAATGGCTGCCTAGATAGTTTTATTTATTTAACATTTACAGTTTTTGTTTCTATTCTTTAAAGGGAATTTTACTTCTGAAAACCTGTCTAGCTGTTACTGTTTCATGTGGTAGTGTAGGAGTTGGAGAGGCTCTCCTGACTTTCACATTTTGACAAAAACGTGTATTGTCTACCCCAAGTTGTGTCTTCTGGTTGAATAAAGTTGTTACCTTGTTCTATGTATCTTTTTGCCCTTGAGTCATATTGAGTCTAAAAAGCAGAGGGTGAACCAGGATATTTAAGCTGGTAAGTTTTCTATAAAAGCCTAAGTTAGTGTGTTAAAGATTGGTTTGGGAATTTTAGGAATCCAGAAACTGCTCCACATGTGAGGTTAAAACTCAGTGGTAGAAATATAAGAGAACTTTTAAAATGTGTTTTTTTAGTAGCTGAATTAATCAGGGTGCATTTGCAGCTTTCAGATTTTTCTGTTGAAAGGGAGCTGGCTTTACCAGAGATGCAAGTCTCCAGGTTAGTTGCTTAATAACTACTAGAAATTGATAATGCTGC